TACTAAATCTGTTCATTTAAAACAGTCCATATCACTGGGGAAAGAGTTTATCAAATTCTAAGGCAATTTTCAATGAGAATAACACTAAGGTTCAAATTTCAGGGCAACAGGAATGATGTCAGACTTAAATCACATTCGCTATGAACTAGACAACTAATGTGTCACTATAGATTAAAAAATGATGACTGAGGATGGGGACAAGTGAGGAGGAAGGCTGGTCCTAGCACAGCTGCAATGCCTGTCCCGCCTCCCCCAACACACAGCCTAGGCATCTGCCAAGCAACAAAAAGCCGAGGGCCAGCCAAAATTTTTAATTAAATTTTCTGGTCCAAGGAGTATAACCATACACAGTTCCAGGCTTATTTTGCCCAAGCTTAGAGACACTAGAGAAAAGAAAGAGCCACATTTTCCCAGACTCATTCTCTAACATCCCTGACAAGGGCTCAGACCATCCCAGGTTGGGTCACATGCTCTTCCCTAGGGACATCTCTGAGGAGGAGAAGGGAGACTCTAGTCAGCCAGGCCTGGGCACCATGCTTCCCCTTCTTCACACCCATCCCGCCTTGGGAGGCCAGAGAAGTGTGGTTCTAAAGAACCATCTGATCTAGGGGATTGCAGACAATTCCTCAAAGGAAAGATTAATTGTCAGGCAAAAACAAAAGATGCTCACAACACAAAATTACAGAATGTCAGAGTTGAGAGGAACCTCGGAACTCATCCATTCTATCCTGTTTTATAGAGGAGAAAACCATACAAGGTAGAAGACCTTAAAGACCATGGGAAAGGTAGAATGCTGCAGGGGTTCAAAGGATGGACAAGCACACATCTTGTTGAGGATATCAGGGAGGGCTCGATGAAAGTGGGTGGATTTGACCTGGGACTTGACACACAGAGAGTGTAATGTGCTTGTCTTTTGCTGACTTCAGAATTACTGCTTTCTGCTCATAATCTGCTTATCTCAAGCCAACTTCCTTGGCTTTTTGAGTCTTTATTCAATTGGCCTTGATTTTTCTTTCAAGTTCCCTTCATTTGGATTTGGTGCCCGGTTCTCTGCCTGACCTGGTTGCCTGTTTGGACTTGGTCCAGTTCTCTGTCTAGCAGGATGTCTGAGCTGGGAAAGACCTGAGTCTCAGCTGTGGGATTTGGTGACTCCCCTGGAAGTCTTCTGTGTATACAGAGAGGATCAAGGGTCACAAACAAATGCCTTCGGGTAGGTAACAAATGTGTGAAGGCTAGCTATTAATACACAGCGGTGCCCGTGGGATTTAAATTCTTGTAGAAAAAAAAAAGCAAATAAATAAAACCTACGGGCTGCCCAAACAAAACAATCTGTGAACTAGTTGCTCCTCTTGCTGTCAAACGTTTGTGACCCCTGGGTTAGACAAAACTTCCTAGCTGTCCTGACAGGTTTGGGAAAACCCAACAAGTCCTTATCGCCTCAACTACCTGGGGCCCAGGAGCTCCATGGGAAAGAATTTGTACCCTGCCCACAGCTGCGGTTCAGACATTTACAGACTTGTTTTATGAACTGACGGGGCACTCAGTGGAAGCCAGACTGCTGAAAGTGCTGCTGACAGAAAATCATCAGACGGGAGGAACGGGTCTGCCGTAGGTTACGATGTGACCCCTTCCCCACGCCAACCTAGTGGCAGTTCCTCTATGCCTCCGGGTTCCGTTAAGCAGTAAAAGCCAAAGAGCCGTGTCATTAAACTCCTACGTCTCACGGCTGGCGGGGACGGGTGTGCATCACGGCCCCCACAGGCTGGCTCCCTCTTCCCCTCGGACTTTAGCACCGATTTCCCATCAGTCCAGGCCGTCAGAGAGCCGCCTACACGCTTCCCACCCTTTCCGCGCCTCAGTCCCACCTCCTCCCTGAAACGGTCCCCAGCCGCCTGCCCGGCCGCACCTGCTCGGGCGTGGTCATGCGGCCGGGCTGTGGAAACGCGAATGTAAACAGAGCGTAGTGGCAGGCTGCTGACCCACCTCCCCTCCAGCGCCGCGCCGCGAACGCGTCCGTGCGCCCAGCCCCAAATGAATGAACGAATGCATGACTTGGGGCGCGAAGGAAGGAAAGAAAAGAGCGCCCCCCAGCAGCCGACCTTTTCTACGCCCGCCCCAGGACTACACGGCCTCACACAAACCCACTCGCTCCAAAGGGAAAACCTGAGGTTGGAGCGCCCAAAGCAAGGGCGGAGGACGCCGAAGAAGACCCGGCCTCCCATTGGCCAAGGTGACGCAAGTGTGGGCTGTTCTTTCAGGAGTGGGCCGTGTATTGGCCGAGCCTTCGGACTGAGGTCTGGGATTGGCTGTGTCGGTCCTCCGCGGAGGAACAAGGGGCGGGCTCCAAGGGAGTGGCCGGCGCTCGATGCCGTCCCGAGCGTTCTGGACTCCGGCGGGAGCGCAGTGCTCGCCGCTTGGGATCCCTACCTCGGGGCCGCCGCATGGGGCTGCTGGGTCCGCTCGGGACGTGCGAGCCGATCGCGGTGCGGTAGGTAGGCAGTGGCTGGTGCGCGGGCCCCGGGTGCTCGGGGTGCCCGCGGCGCCGGGGGCGGCGGCCCCGGCCAGACCCGCACGCGACCCGGCCCCCTCCGCCTACGGGTCTGTCCACTGAGTAGTAGCCTTGCGGGCCGCCGCGCCTCATGTCCCCGCAGGGAAAGGCACAAAGGCTTCCCGGGAGTGGGAGCGCCTCGTGCCTTCGCCTCCATTTTGCGGGCGGAACGGCATGTGCGGTCTCTGCTGAGGAGGGAGGCCGGACTTGGGAAGGCCCGGGCGCGGCGAGAGAGTGCGCGTGTCCATGCATCTCGCCCCCCGCCTTAGGTGCGTCGCTGGTCTGCCTGGGCCGTGGGGAAAATCATTCTCTCTTAGGCCTCTCCCAGCGTTTACCCTGCTCCCCCGTTGGGGCCAACGCAGCTCAGATCGTTCCTACGGGAAGGAGTGAGATGAATGACGCCGCCTTACCGGTGTCAACGCAGCAGCCCCCAGATGCAGAGGAGAAGCAGATGTTTCACTTTTTTGCCCAGAAAGGCTTCCTTTTGTAACTGTCATCAGTAGAACAGCTCTCAGCAGCCCGAGGGCAAATTCCAAAACCTGTTCCAGGCCCTTTATAATTATTAGGTTGGGTTCAGCGTATTGTTTGCAATAAAAATGAGCTGAAACCTGCCAGTGCCAGGACAGATTGGACCTCATCGGGCGAGGAGGCAGGGCACGAAGAGAAGTAGCGTTTGTAAATAAATACCCTAGCAGTTCTCAGATCTAGGCTGTAAAGGATGTTGTTAAAATGCCTGACAGAGGGTGTTGGGTCAGTTTGCTTTGGGCTTGGTTAAAAGAAGTAGAAGTCACCACCTTTCACTTTGTTACCTCCTTGCCCTTCCCAACACCTGGGTCAGCTCTGGGCCATTCAGTACAGAAAAGAGCAAGGAACTCACTTTCACCTCTTCTGGAAAGCTTTTTAAAGGTCTTCCTCACCCTACAACTGATAATCACTCCCACCTATAGCTACCTCTGTTTTTATACATCACACTGTAATGTGGTTTCCCCAGCCCCTGGCACAATGCTTGGAACATAGAAGGCACTTGATGATGGAAGGAAGGCAAAAGAAAACAAAAAAAATTAGCATAGTAGCCCGAAATTGACAAAACAGAAGTTTATTTCTTTAACTTCTTGGGCCAGTTATTCTTACTGGTTAGGGAGGCAGCTGAGCTCAGCCTAAGTCGGATTTTAGCTGTACCATGTTACTCTGATTAAGTTATTTAACTTCTCCGTGCCTCAGTTTCCTCATCCTTAAAAGGGGAGTAGTAATAGTGCCTGCACCATGTGTTATGAGGATTAAATAAAATGTTGATATAAAGTGGCTAACTTAGTTCCTGCCACAAAGAAAATGTTCAGTAGCTGTTAGTAGTTGTTAAGATAAAAATAAACCGATTCTTGAACAGACTCAACAATACTAAATATCATTTATAGTACTTGACCCTTCAGAGTCTGTCTGCCTTTAGGGCCTTATTTGATCTTTGATTTAAAAAAATTCTTTAAGCCTTTACTGATTCTCCTCCCACAGCAGAAGTATTCCATAGAAGATTGTCTCTTTATGCATCTAGGATCTTACTACTCGCTAAAGATTGATTAGGTGGCAAATAACAATTTGGCCAAGAATTACAGTAGTGTTTGATACACTCTGAATGGGGGAGGGTCTGTTACTTGAAATGGTCATGTAAGAGCACAGCAGTGTAATAGATGAGGCCTGATGTGGCTGACAAAAAATCTTTAGGATGATTGGTGCAGCCACGGAGAGGCTGAGCTTGTGGCTGTGGATGCTCTTTATATCTTAAATCTGTTTTCATAAAGAAACTGTCTCCTGTCTTTAAAGTGGCTCACAAACATTGTGAAAAGTGGAAAAAGTCTTCCTGTTGGCTTTAAACCTGTTTGCCAGATCTAGAGGTGTCAGATACAACCCGTGGGGGATATTGCCTCACTTCCAGGTTTTCCAGTACCAATTTCTGGTCACAGGAAACAGGCTAAGTTATATATATCCTTCTAGCTGTAAGCTTACCCCTTGGCATGTCAATTTCTCTTAAATTATTAGGAGTCTGGAAAACAAATACTTTCTCCTCCTCACTTGTAATTGACACAGGAGAAATTCAGGTCTAGGATTCTGTTTTTAGGATACTCACAGTGAATCCTGAATCTTTTGTAGGAAATACTGTTCCTTCTGGGGACTCCCTTCCAGCTGTGACATTCTGTAATTAGCCATTAAAAACCTGCCACAAGGTGTGAGCCTTTTCTAGTGTCCTGTTGCAAAGTCCTTGTGGACAAGAACCATAAATTTCCTTCTTGTGTGGGTCTGGCATATCATAGATGCCTAAGGAATTGTAAAACTAGTATATTAACAGTTCCTTTTTAGGATGCTTAAACAGTCTTGCTTACCAGTGTAGTGGTTCTGAAACATTGTGCTTACCAACTCATCTGGAGATACTGCTTAAACACAGGTTCTGATTCCAAGACTCTGGGGCAGGGCCTGAGAATCTGCATTCCAAGAAGGTGATGTGGTTGCTGATCCTGGATCACACTTTGAGTAGTAAAGTACTAACTTAAGTATCTGTGTTTGCTTTTAGAAGTACTAGGTAAATGGGTTTTATTTTCTTATGGTATTGGAATAACATCTTGGATTTAGGAGTTTTTTTCTCCCCTTTTTTCTATTTTTAAAATTAAAAAAAATATATATGGAACGCTTCACGAACTTGCACGTCATCCTTGCACAGAGGCCATGCAAATCTTCTCTATATCGTTCCAATTTTAGTATATGTGCTGCTGAAGCCAGCACTAGGAGTTTTTTTCTATTATTTTATTCTGCTCTTAACAATTCCTCTGTCCTATTCCCAAAAAAATGATTACAGGCATCTTTACAAGATACTTCTGGTGTTACAAGGTTTTTATTTATTTTATTTTATTTTTTTGAGACAGTGTCTCACTCCACTGCCCTGAGTAGAGTGCTGTGGCGTCATCATTGTTCACTGCAACCTCAAACTCCTGGGCTCAAGCGATCCTCCTGCCTCAGCCCTTTGAGTAGCTGGGACTACAGGCATACACCACAACACCCAGCTAATTTTATATTTTTGGTAGAGATGGGGTCTCACTCCTGCTCAGGCTGGTCTCGAACTCCTGAGCTTAAGCAATCTTCCTGCCTTGGCCTCCCAGAGTTCTAGAATTACAGGCGTGAGCCACTGCGCCTGGCCACAAGGTTTTTAATAAAAGCAATTGAGGCAGATAGGGTGAAAGAAAATGAAGAGAAGTCAAGGGAGAGATTAGCACAAAAGGTGAGTGCCTCTCTGTCCTATACGTTTTATTTAGGTGGAGCTGCATGTTTGGCTCTGAGCTTCCTAGCAGCCAAAGCAAAGAGGAAAATTTTTATCCATTTTGCCAATACCTTTAAAAACAGACTGGCTGCTCAGTGAAAAGAGCTTTTTCTGTTATTGAGGTTAGAGAATTCTTCTCCTGTGGGTTCTCCAAAGAGGACAGTATG